GTCTTTGGTTCGCAATTAGTGTAAGTTGTTTCCAGCAAACTGACAAAGCTCTGTCTATCTCCTCCAACTCCTGTTGCAGGAGTTGTGCCCATCTTGCTCGGGCCACCACATGTGGCAGTTTCAGCGGTCGGTTCAAAGTGTACCCAATTCTGATTGAGTAGTCCGCAAGAGTGACATTCGTTCCCCTATACCCTTTTATTATCCATTCCCATAGGGCTGGGTCTAGTTTCAACTGAAGAATGGGGGAACCCCTAACTATGGTTTGACTAAAAGTTGACTCGTCCGAGCCGGTTGTCTAAAAAACACGAATCTGCTGCATAGATAAGCCCAGTGGGGTGGGAGGATTTTCCTCATTTGGTGACAGTATCCTTCCCTGTTGAATTTCCCAGCACTCAAATTCTCTCCGGCCATCATTATTAATATTGACCAGCTTCCAGGCTTGTTCAGGGACTGCATGGGCAATACTGAACCATGTACCCCGGGATCCACCCCTTCTGGAGATATTAACTGTTTCCATTTCTTTGGAATGGCTTCGATAATAGCTCGTCTCCTTCCTTCCTGGTACCAGGTTTGGCCCAGCTGAGAGCGTAGCTCCTCTTCAGTTCTCCAGCAGTCCAGGATCGGATTCCAAAGGTCTTGAATTCTAAGAACTCCCCGCTCTATCCATGTACGACCGAAGCTTGCTGGGGACGAATATACTTTGAACCATTCCCCCGCAGAATCTCTTATTCTTGGATTTTCGAACACAGGTTGCATCATCACTTCGACCTTCGTGTGAGGTTTGTTCCATACTGTAGGTCTGATTTTCTTCCAAGCCTGTATAATCGCTGACCAAAAGGATGACTTGACGTGTCTGCGCTGATAGGAATATAGCAGCAAACATGTCCATACGTCTGCCGGCCTTGACAAATGTCATTCACTGGCCAAGATTCTTTCTGCCAAATGAACCGAATGGGGAGGGGGGCTAAGGAGAGTGGCCTGGATAATCCAAAGTACTAACACTGCACTGTTCCGTCGCTGCGAATCCAACATTCCCAGCCCACCTTCACTACGGGGAAAGCACAACATTTCCCAGGCTACCTTCGATATAAAGGCATCCCCTTTATTTGAGAAGGGTTTCCAAATGAATCTGACAGCTCTTCGTCTAGATAGTGTGTACAATTGAGATCCCAGTCCACGTACTCTCCCTACATACCACAGTAGAGCAAACAGGGCCTCATTAACTACCATCGCCCTACCATAGATTGATAAATGAGGGGCTTTGCCCCACGATACCACTCTCTGCGTAATCTTTTGCAGTAGGATTCCATCCTGGGCTTCCACACAATTCGACAAGGTTATTTGGACTCCCAAAAAACGTTCTGATTCACCGACCCCAATGCGCTTCATTCCCCACTGCACCACTAATGAAAATTGCGTTGGGAGAAAAAAAACTGACTTATGTCAGTTTATGGCTGCTTCAGACAACGAGGCATACTCATCCAGGCAACATTTCATGGCAGCAAGCGACTGAGTAGAATTTTCCACTACAACAAATAGATCGTCGGCCAATGCTTTAACCTTGTATGGAGTTAGGCCTGCTTGAAGTCCAACTATCTGTGTGTGTGCCCGAATGTTGTTGATAACCCCTTCCATTTGAACAACAAATAGTAGGGGGCCAGAGGGCAGCCCTAGCGTAGAGACCTGGTGAGAGGGAAGTCTTGAGACAATCGACCATTTATCATGACTGCAGCAGTGGAAAGCGTGTACAAGGCCGATACCCAAATGCAGAAGTTTTTCCCAAAGCCCATCCAGTCCAAGGTTGAGAAGACATAAGACCAGTTAACACGGTTGTATGCCTTCTTCAAATCCAGGAGAAGGACTGCCATGTCGAGCTGTTCGTTCTGAATTACCTCCAATGTTTCGATTGCCGTAACAATGTTGTCGAAGATTGAGCGTCCCTTGATGAAAGCAGCTTGGTCCGACAGTACTAAATCTGGAAGATAGCGACCCAGTTGTCTCGCCAAGACTTTGGCCAAAATTTTATATGACACGTTTAGGACGGATATAGGGCGCCAGTTCCGGATTTCAGTTTTATCACCTTTCTTGAAGAGGACAAAAATAATTCCTCGACACATATTCAACGCTAGTTTCCCTCCTGTCAGATTCTCATTGTAGATTTCAACCAACTTTTATCCTACCACGTCGCATAAAGACAGGTACAGTTCAGCTGACAGACCATCATCCCCTGGTGCTTTACCTGTTGTCATTGCCTTGAGTCCCTCAGGAGCTTCAGTGGTTGAAATAGGCCTGTCCAAGTCTAACCTACCAGCCTGAGAGAGTATAGCCTTAGTGTTCATCCAGTGTTGTAAGTCCTTGTGGAGGTCGGACCGAGTGTTGGCTCCCTGTGTTCTAGAGGTCAAGATATCCCTGTAATATAGCGACGCGTAGTTACAGAGTTCAGTTAGTTCTTTTGCTACCAGAGCGACCTCGTCAAACGGATGCTTTAACTCCTTCACAGGTACCGTGGCTCTTCTCAGGAGTAGCTTATAGAAGGCTTCCTTTGTCATGCGGTCATATACCGCAATGCCTTTGATACGCAGTCTGTCGGCCCAGATTTCAGACTGTTTACACTCGAGCTCGTCCCATTCAGCCAGCGGCCTATTTCTTTCCATACCCCACACTTTCTCTGAAACTGGATGTTCCAACATTCTTGACTCTACATATATTAGTCGTTTTTGAATTTTAACCACTCGCTTGTTTCGTTTGTAGGCCAGCAGGCAAGAGATGACGCTCAGGAAGTTGGAGAAAATCCGTGATCATGAGTTCCACTATTCTGCCGTAGATTGGTAATCTCCACGTGATTTCTCCCAATCTCTCCAAAAATGTTTCATCCATAAAATGAGCCCTGGTTCTTTAAGATTTTCGGTATTGAACCGAAATAACCCTTTACCACGCAGGGCTTCCGATGTATGTAAGGAGAGAATCACAGGTTTGTGATCAGATAAATAATGAGTTGATTCATGTACCTTATCTACCGCTTGCCATAGCGAGGAGGAGATCAGAAAGTAGTATAGTCTACGTTTGGTGATTCTCGTATTCTCCCGATAATGAGAGAACCATGTGTAGCCCGGAGCTTCAGGATGAGAGAGACGAAAAAAGTCAATCACTTCTAGTTCGTCCATGGCCATGGTAAGAGACAGTTTGTCTATGATCCTCCTAACTGAAAGGTCGTCTATCGAGGTGTTCCAATCGCCAACAAGAACTAAGTTATCAGTCTCTGGTATTATTAATAACAGATCTTGAAAGAAGTTAGCGCGAAGAATCTCATCTGTTGGGGCATAGATTGACACTATTACCCAGTAGGAGCCATTTATAAAGCATTTTACCCATGACCACCGCCCCCAAATATCATAGTAAAAGTCAACTATCTCTAACTCTGCTTTCCTATGAATCAGGATTGCAGTGCCCCATTTTGAACCAATCGCAGGGGCCCACAATTGAGGGTCGTCCCGCCAGTTCAATAGGCATGTAATCTTTTCCTCTGATAATTTAGTTTCTTGCAGGCACATTACTTGAATGCTCTTATCGAAGATCCATGATTTCAGACTGTCTCTTTTGTGGTGACTTGCTCCATCGCCCAACCCTCTAACATTCCACGACTCGATTCTAATTTTGCCCATTGGCAGCCTGACTCCAACCAATTGATTGGATGGGAGAGCCCTGAGAGGCGGCTAACCATGTGGAAGTTAGCATTGACCTGACGTACGGGGAAAATAATTTCTTGTCTTTCAACAGTTTGCCATCCACATCCGCTAATCGCTCGGCGGACTGCAGAGGAGGCATTTTCAGTCTGCGGAGCTCCGTTTTCTAGGATTCACCGAACCAGGACAAGGGGAAGAGACGTATGCCTTCTTCTTCCAATTTTTCCAATTGGCCAATCACGAATCTTGCATCCATGATTGGAACAAAGAATTTTATCCGTTTATCGCCCCCTTCCGGGCTCTCCACATCAATCTAGGCATCGCCATATCAGAAATGATACGAAATAAGAACCGATCGTTAATGGCAGTTCTAACCAAAGAAACTAGCGCAGAGGGCATTGGTTGTTCTGGACCAGGGATACTTACCATATGTAACGAGCTGTCCGAGGTTGGCCAAGCAATAACCCACAAGGAGTTTCTGGCATAGGTACAAAAGAGCGGCAATACCCTGTTCTCGACCTGTTGGAGTTGACCTCTGTCAAGGGAGGCCGGAGCTCTCCTTTTACCTGAGTAGCTTTCTGGTGTGTCCACCACTTTTATCCTTCCGGTTGAGTCCTCTGATCTTGGAATTGATGTGCCTGATGCTTCCCCCCCTTCCTGCAGACCACTTGCAATGAAGCTCCCTTCCGTGTCGAGTCGTCGCTGTTTCCCTGGAGTGCCCGACCGTGGTCTCTGTGATCCGGTACTATCTCTGTGTCGAGGTGTAAGCTCACGTTCGAGGTTGATTCCAGTGGCGTTGTTGGCGGAGGCACTCCCGCCTGCGGTCCTGGCTGCCGGCCCTGCTACACTTCCGGTCGCCCCTCCATCTCCTCCTCCCCCTTCCATCCTAGGAGGGTAGGACGGAACAGTCGTTTGAAGTCCACCAACTCCTGCCGCTCTGCCTAATGCTACTTGTTGCTGAGGTTGAACCGTACTACCCACACCCCCATTCAAAGGGGGTACATATCCCCCCTGTTGAAATGTTGGTTGTGGCATCTAGGGCATAAATGCATTTCCGGTCCTACTTGGCATACCGTATTGAGGATGTGGAGGGAGTTGCATCCATGGTTGACTACCTCTCTGTCTGTTGGATTGCCCACCTGAGCCGGCTGGATGAGCTGGAGAGAACGTTGGATTAAGATGAGAGCTGACAAACGGCTAACCACCTCCTCGAGCGTTGTTTGGATCGATGTGTAGCGCTGCCATCGAGGGGGAGAGCCCCAAGGGGCCCATAGGGCCTTGATACCCTTGATTTGAAGACATTTGTTGACCGCCACTACCTGGTTGGCTGTTTTGTTGATTCTGTCTCGCCCCTCTCCTGCATTCGTTGTCCGTTTGAAAAAACGCTCGGCAACGTCTGCACCTCGGAGTTTCCAATGACGCTAACTTGACTTACAGTTCATCACCTTCTGGAGTAATTGCCCAAATCTTGTCCTTCATATTAGGACGAGATGTTGGGTCAATGTCGAATTCGATGTTGATGAGTGATGGCTTGAGTTGATCCAGTTCCGTTGGATGCGTTCGGATTACGGGGCCAATTGCCCTTGCCACTTGTGCCTCTAGATAGAAAAAGGAATCAAGAGGCACTTGGACAGCAATAACCCAGAAAGTGAGATCGTCCTCTTCTCTTCGTTGCTCCCGGAGTTGAGCTTTTGACATCCATGGTTTGAACTCCAGCTTGTATGTATCCTGACCAATAGTGATTTCGTCATGACCTTTGGTAACCATCCAAGCTGCAATCACCCTTGATTTCGCCACATATGAGACCACATTTGGACTCTCCACTTTCACCCTTCCACGTCGAAAATTCTCCGCGTCGAAGCTGCCGTCCTGGATTTTGTCGTCTTCAAATGCACGTACGATATCGTCCTTGACTTTCTTGGGGAGAAATCTCGCCCGTTCTCGAAAAATCACAGTCACGGTATGTTCCTTCAACCAAGCTATCTTCACTCTATCTATATGCTTGTTAACTTTGAATCTCACCTCTCTTCCTTCAACTGTCATTTCTCCTGGATCTATATTAGGGGGCATAATCCCTTCCTCATAGCATAACCTCATCAGTTCTCTAAGCCTCTCATCTTCGTCTCTTTCTCCACCCAGGTCGGGAGGAGGAGACGGAGCACCTCGTTGATGTGCCCCGTCTTCCATCTCGACCGTCGCCATAGTTCTACTCCACTCAGAACGTATCACCAAGGCTGGAAGACGCGATTAGAAAACCGTACGAAATTGTTGACAAACTTACGACAGTGTTGAGCTAGAACATGGTATGAGCTATGATGCTCATATGGTTGGGCCTTAACCGACAAGTCTCTATGACACCATCGCCGAATACTCCCCCATACAGGTAAGCATCGACGACCCTCGGAACATGGCGGATAAGGACAGGGTCATAGCTGCCGTGGCGACGTCACGATGGCGGCGCATGCACGGTTGACTCAGAAGCCCACGTTACCGGGGGCTTAGCGCTTGGTCCGAAACGCCGTAGCGCCGGCGGAAGCGCTTCGGCCGGTCGGTGTCAGGTTTATCGTCCCATTGTTTTTCAATGAAATTACTTCCTTTCCAAAAAAAAAAAAAAAAA